CCCATTGCGTCCCTGGGAAGCTGTTTGTGGACAAGTGCGTTGTGGCGCAGCAGTCCTCGGTGTGTTCGAAAGGTGACACAGCAAATGTCACATCTAGGGAGAAGAGAGGGACAAAGATACAAAGAGGTAGCTCAGTCAGTTTCCACTTGTCTGTTGGCTTCATGATGTCTTYTGTTGCTTCATTGCAACTCAACACAATACAAATAAGACACCAAGAAGCCAGTGTGCTTGTGGTTAACAACAAAAAAACTCTTTTGTTTATTTTTAAAAATTATATTCTACTAACCCTGGACACCAAATCTTTGCAGGCAGTACAAGATGTCTCTTTGACCAAACATCTCATCTTCAGAAGACAGCCGGGACCCTAAGGCCACTGCTGCAGACCTGAGTCATGCAACGTCAAGGATTACTTCAGAGGTGCTGTTCCTCCCTCTGCTCAATGGGTTCTAATTATTGTAAATATTTAAAAGGCAAAAAGATACATTTATGCAGTGCCTAGAGCAACTGTAGCAGCATCCTTGGGGACAATCTCCCCAGCAAGATTCCTGATAAGGATAATATAATTCAATTCCCTAACCGAATTGGTAGCAAGGAATAATAATTGCTTATTAAATTCTACTACTGCATTCATTATCTGAAAAACAACTGTAGTTCCCACATACTGAGTCCACACTAAGTGTAAGACCTGCCAGGACAGTGCATACACCACGGCAAGGCAATGGGTTTTACCATCCTCTTCTTACAGATGGAAACACAGAGGCTTAAAAATGTTAATCAACTGACCGAAGTCACAGAGCCAAGAAGCAAGACAAAATGTAAGGCCAAGTTCTTACTCCCACCCTTGCCTATCACAAGACTATCTCCTTTCCTTGAAAGAGTCCCACGAATACAACCTACTTAAACATTGTGGCCAGGGCTGAGATTGTAGCTCAGCCGTAGAGCGCTTGCCTAGCATGTGTGAGGCTCTGGGTTCAATTGTCAGCACCACATAAAAACAAAACAAAACAAAACAACAACAACAACAACAAAAATAGGGCTAGGGATATAGCTCAGTTGGTTGAATGCTTGCCTTGCACGCACAAGGCCCTGGGTTCAATCCCCACCACCATAAACAAACAAATAAACAAACAAAGGTATTGTGTCCATCTACAACTTTAAAAACATTTTTTTTAATTAAACTGTGGCCCTTAAAAATAAAACAAAGGAAAAATAAATCATGATCCTTAATTTTAGAAGCAATCTTTGACATCCTACAATGTTCTGGCTACTCAGATGCAAAGCAAACGCCATTTTCTAAGACTGTCTCTACTTTTCACACAGTGTTGTCTTCTGGGTCTTCACTGAGAACCATATTAAAARTGATACAATAATTATATTATCAACATCTCCTAGATCAATACTAAATACAGCCACTGAGACACATGTTACTATTTAAATAGAAATTTAATAAAGTTTCGTCATTCACTTTAGCCTCCTTTCCAAGGCTCAACTGCATGGGGCCATACAGCTATGGCATATTTCTTGAAGGCAAAAAGTTCTGCATGCCAAGCATCATTACACGTACAGACACCTTYGCCAACCTTCTAAAGTAGGTCTTACTACCACTGTGCTACATAGAGGTAAGGCAACTGGCTCCTGTTTACACTGCATACACTTTAATGGAAAGTTTTCTTGCTATGAAATTCTTCTCTGGAAATAAAGAGATAATGAAATCACCCACGAAGCAGCTGAGCTCTCTTTGATGAAGCGTTGAAAGGAAGAAGTGCCAAGTATGTGCAGCTCTGCTTGCTTTATCACTTGGTGGCGGAACGGGGTCCTGTTGTATATCCACCTCTCTTCTCTCCTCTGCTAACTTGTGGACACCTCCCTAGCAAGATTCCTGTCATTGTTCAACTACATTTAGAATACTGGGTTCCTAGGAGCCATTCAAAGCACAATGATCCCTTTGAGGTGAGTTTCTGAGCTGCCCAGCTGCAGTCAAGGCCCCAGGGAAGAACTGGATTCAGATAACCCAAAACAGCTTTAGGGACTGAAGCTGTCACACCATGGGCCCAGATGGTGTGGCTGGCACCTCGAAGGTTAGGCAGGTCCTAGGGGATAGGCTATGATCCRCAGGAACCATTCCTCACCCAAGTGCCCAGAATCACAGGTTAGAAAACAGAGTTAAGTAGGGAAATTGCATGGGCACACTGCTCAGGGCCAGGGTCTTCTGGCTGGAACACATTCCATGTTCTCGGCTACGGACACAGAGGGAACAGTAACCTTGGAGGCTGCTGAGAACCTTTGTCCTATACTACCACACTGGAAATCGAAGTCCTGACTTCAGATCTTCCAGGTTCAAGTTCAACTGCACATGATCACCGATCCATCACCTTGGCACTCGTCAGCTGGGAGCTCTGCACTAGACTAAGGATCAAAGAAATATCTGAATGGGGAAAACTGACCTCTAACCAGACATTTGATATTATTAAGAAATTACTGTTTAGAAATTATCTGGGTTGGGGAAGAGATGACACAAAATTGACTGTGAGTTGTTAATTCCTGAAATTGGGTGAGGGATACGTGGGGGTTCATTATATTATTTTCTCTACTTTTGTATACATCTGAGAAATCCCTTATACATTCAAGAGACAGAACTACCTTACTGCAAACAGCTAATTGGCTGACTTTTTCTACTTTCTTCAGTTTTGACAACACCTAGACCACTATCTGCAACAGGTGTGTTTGAGTGTGGGGGCTCCACTGATAAAACTACAGAAGGAAAGTCCCCACACTGAGTCCCTCTGTGGCACTCACAATGTGAAGGAGCCCATTTCCCCAGCAAGACCATGTTTCTTCCTGTACACCTACTGACCAACCGAAGCTTTGGAAAGAAGTGTGTTTGTATGTCTGTGCACACACAGGGGTGGGAGTCAGGGTCTCAAGGGAAGTGCCAAACCCAAGGCTCAGGAAAACTACAGACTTGGGATTTATACTCAGGGAAAGCTGGGCACTTGAGCCTATGACACAATCTGGTCTGGTACTTTGTGAACTGGAGATAGTTCAGGGGAGACGGAGGGGATGAAAGTTAGGTTTGCCTTCCCTGAAAGGTGAGAAAATGAGGAGAGAAGCAAGCTGTAAGCAAGTGTAGTGGGGATCCTGCCACCCAGCAGATCAGGCAGGTGTTCCCACCTGAGTCTACAATATAACTTGCTCTTCCTGCATGCAGAAAATAGTATTTACTATAGATATTTTGTGCAAACTATTTGCAGTGCTTTATTTTTATTTATTTATTTGTTCTACTTAGTTGTACATGATTGGCAGTGTTTTAAATTAGGTTTTACTAGTGTTAGGCACTGTCCTGGTTGCTGAGATGTTGCAACACCTAAACAAGCTCATTTCAACCTAAGCAAAATGAGATAAACAGCATTAGTAAACATCACAGCAGAAAGCCTAGCGTTTCTACCCAGCTCACCTTTACCTGTGAAGCCAGCAGGGTTCACTCTTTGCAGAGAAGGGCTTTTTATTCAAAGCCAGGTAGAGAGAGCTCATAAAAGAATTTATATACATCTTAAGTATTTAACTTAAAATATATATACACACATATATGTCTGAAACACAACTTTAAATAAATCAGAACAAAACAGTGATYCTGATTATTTTTGTGTTCTGTACTTGTGAACGTCTACGTTGCTAAAATTTATTTGCAAATCCAAAATTGATACTTGTAATGATTTTGTGGTCATTTGCAGATATGTACAAAGCAGTGAAAATCTTGAGTTGCCCAATATACACATTCCTAGCTGAGGTTGAAGGACACTACTTTGCCTTCTTGTTCAACTCTCATGCTATAAATAAATGTCCTTTGTGCTATTTCATGCCATGTTCTTCACATTTTTGTGCTTTTTATTAGTGATTTCAGTGTTACAATGGCCCCCTCGTGTGGTCCTGAAGTGCTGTTTTGTGTTCTTGAGAACAAGAGGTTATGATGTGCTTGCTTTATGGAGAAAAACGTGTGTATTGCATGTATTAGAAAAGCATGAGTTATTGTTGTGTTGGCTGTGAGTTCAATGTAGGAATCAGTAATACATATTAAAGAATGTACTTCAAACAGAAACACACACACACACACACACACACACACACACACACACAAAACAAGGTTCTGCACTGATTAGTTGATGAAAATAGGACTGGAGGTACCAAGGAACCCTGTATTTCCCCTAGGGAACAATGGTTGAGTATTTGCTACTTCTGTGTTTGGAGTGACCTTACAGAACCCAACTATCTCAACTAAGCATCCGGGCCCTCTATACCCAAAGGTTCTGCATGTAGATTCAATCAAAAACCAAATTAAAATATTTTGGGAAAAATTCATCTGCACTGAACATGCACATAGATTTTGAGTCATTGTTCTCTAAAGAATACAGTATAATAAGTATTTATACAACATTTACATGTGTTAGGTATTATAAGTCATCTAGAGAAGATTTAAAGTATAAGAAAGGATGTATACAGGTTCTATGCAAATGCTACACCATTCAATACAAGGGACTTGGGCATCTGTGGACTTTGGTATCTTCAGGTGTCCTGGAACCTAGCTCTCATGGACACTGACAGACAACTGCACGTTCACTGGCTAGTCCTTCTACAGAAGGCCAAAGGTTTATGCTTGAGTCTAGTTCCATTTCATCATTAGTGCATGAATCATCCTCATAATACATCTTTTTAAAAAAATATTTATTTTTTAGTTATAGGTGGACACAATATTTTTATTTTTATGTGGTACTGAGGATGAAATCCAGTGTCTCACGCATGCTAGGCGAGCACTCTACCTCTTAGGCACGACCCCAGCCCCCATAATACATCTTCGATTTACAGTTTTAGTTCATTTAATTGGAGCAAGGATTTAGATGTTTCGAACCAAGATAGAGCATAATCCCAAATTTCTATGATTATCTCGTGTAACTGTTTATAGGTAGTTGACCTACCTAAATTTGACAGCAATTAAAAAAATACTGTCCAATCTGCACTGTCAATAAGACTTTTTCAACTTGGTTTCCAGAGACTACTATTTTTCTAAACAATAATTCACTGGCTTATACAAATAAAAT